TCCTCCAGGTCCAAGGCTCTCACTGTTATCTGCTTAGCCCCATGTGTCTTGTAGAGACATCTCTTGGGGGCGAGCATGTGTCCTGCCTCCAACAAGCTATTTATCTCCTTAATGTTTCCAAATGAGATCATCAAGCTGCGATCTGATTGACAGGCTTAATTCTACCCCATTCACTCTTAATCATCTCAAATTGACAACAGATTATGCAACGACCATAGTAGGTAAGTAGATAACTAGATGAGAGGCAAGAGAACAAGCCATGCTGTCACATTGATTTTGATATATGTCTTTCTTCTTGCAATCTCATGTTTTGTCACACACTAGCTTGGGTTTTGGTGCTGGTGCTGTGGACAGAACCACACAGAGCTTGCTGCCTTCTGTCCCAGAGATGGGCGGCCTGCTACCCTGCAGGAGCTTGAGACCACCCAAACCCTGCCATCTGGCTGCTTTGGAGCAGGGTCTTGAACAAATTATCCCAAGGCTTGTGCCTTCTGCAGCCATCCCCTGCCCCCCGTGAGTTACTGAACTGTGAGTGAAGGCGGGTGAACGGGGCACCGTGGGCGGCAGGCACTCAACAGACCTGATCCCACCTTTTACAGGTGCTTGTTCAGGAACCCAACCAACCAACCGGATGCTGCAGGTTGTCCGTGAGAGAGCCCGTGTGCTACAGGGCAGAGCTGCCCTCCTGCTGTTCATGCCGGGCTCTTTCAGAGGAGCCCACAGGACGGTCTGCTGAGGTGCCTCTGGCAAAAGAAGCACGAGACAAAAGCCCAAACCAAACTTTGGTCATTGAGTTGATTCTGACCCATAGCAACCCTGCAGGAGAAGGTAGAACCATCCCTGTGGGTTTCCCAGACAGCAGCTCTTCACGGGAGTAGAAATCCTCATCTTTCTCTCAACGACCCAATGGTGGTTTCAAACTGCCGATCTTGTGGTTAGCAGCCCCATGCAGAACCACCCTGAGGCATCTCTGGGTGGGTTTAAATTAGCAACCTTTGGGTCGGTCGCCCAGTGCTTAACTATTGGCACTGCCCAGGGACCAGGTGGAGGAGCCTTGCTCAAAGTTCCCTTTTATGGGCCAAGAGTCAGCGAGGGCCCGGAAGGCAGGGGTCTGGGCACTGGTATCTGATGGGCACTCAGGTGTCCCCTGAATATGGACTAGTGCCAGTGACATGGCACTCAGGTGTCCCCTGACATCTGCCTCTATCTTTCCCAAATTTCCAGCAGCCCTGGGGTATGGCAAGAGACAGTGCTGGCTGTTTCCCTAGGAGTGGTGTCTGTGAGAGTGGACGGATGACACAGGGGCAGGGCGGGACTCGGAATGTGCAGAGAAGGCCCGTCCCAGGTTCCCCAGGCCGCACTCAAGGCCCTCTATGCATCTCCTCCTCTTCCTCCTCCCCCCACTCCCCTCATACCCCATCTGCGCCAGCACAGCCAACTTTGAGGGAGGCTGCGGAATGTGGTCTAGCTGTGTGCTAGGGACAGGGAACAGAGTCTCTAACCGAGTCATGCCCCTCTGACATCAACTGTTCATTGTTTACGGGGCAGTTGTGTGAGGGGACTTCAAAAAACGGATGGAATTGAAAGTACGGAATTTCCCCATAAACTTTTGGAAACCCCCTCAGATAGAGAGCATGCAGACCAAGCCTTCAGTGAAACCAAGGGTAGTGACTCGGAGCACACCTGTGAGCACGGTGCCGGAGCCCCGGAGGGATGGAGGTTACATGTTGGGCTGGGATCTGAAAGGTCAGCAGTTTGAAACAATCAAGGGAGAAAGACAAAGCTTCCTACATCTGCCAGGAGTTACCGTCTGAGCAACACACGGGCAGGTCTATCCTGTGTCTTAGGGTCCCTTTGAGCCGGCACTGACTCTATGGCAGTGATTTGAGTTTTGAGTAAGGTGCTAGCTCAAGATACATCCATGCTAATCCTGCCTCATAATGAACAGCACTTCCTTGCCGCCAACTTGATTCTGACTTGAAATGACCCCATCAGGCAAGATGGAATTGCCCCTCTGGGTCTCTGAGGCCGTCCATCTTTACGGGAGCACAAAGCCCCATCTTTCTCTTGTGGAGGGGCTGGTGCATGTGAACCACCGACCTTGTGGTTAGCAGCACAGTGTGTAATCCACGATATTGCTCCAGCTCCTTCCTAGTGAGACAACGCCTTCCAAGCTAGGACTGTCACCACAGCCATGGACCTGGCCCACTGCCAGCAGTTGGTTCTGACTCCTACCAACTCTACTGAGAGTGTCGGCAAATGCAAACCTTAGACGGGAGCAGTCAGCCACATCGTTCTCCCACAGCGCACCTGATGGGTTTGAACCACTGACCTTGTGGTCGGCGACCCAATCCCTAACCCACGGCACCACCTGGCCACCTGAACCCCGGACATACAGACTAGGATTCATGTGCAACACAGAATGCAGCTGGCCCCAGAAACTAGCATCGCATCCTGGCCACCACTCTTGGTTAGGAAGTCATAGAGGCAGGGCCCGAGGGGCTGTTGGTGAGAGAGATTTTTGAGGTGAATCTTTAAAAGGTCACAGCAGGCACCCCAAGGGAGGGGAACACGCAGCTAGACTTCCCGAGGGTCTGGATGGAGGCCGTAAGCTCTCCGTGGTGGCTGGAGCAGCCGCAGTCTGCAGTCTGCCACAGAATGGCCGTGGCCTCCTCCTGCTTCCCTGGAGGAGCGTCCAATGGCAGCCTTGATGCTACAAATATGGCCAAGGGCAAGTTCCAGTTTCACGTGCCTTCTGGGAAGGAGTGGGCTCTGTGTCTCCTCCTTGAGTCTTGAACAGAAGGCAGCCAATGTGATGGTGCAGGGACGCTGCCGTTACACCGAGGCTGCCTAGGGTCTTGGCATCAACCACTGGACGTTTTGGCCAGTGACACTTCACATGACCCCAACTGTGGCATTTGAGTGTCCACGAAGCCCAGACATCTGATGCACCGTGGGCATGCCATGGTCCGCCCTGTCTGAACTCCTGAAGGACACAGTGCATCAGCATAATAAATGGTTGCTCTGTGCTAAGGAGCTCCGGGTACTTTGCTTCCTGTTCATTGCGACTGGGACAAGGGCCAAAGTGCGATAAAGCTTTAGCACCCGCAGGAGTCTGGCAGGGTGTCACCAAGAAGCCGCCTGGCCACTGAGGCTGGTGACCACCAGGTGTGAACTGGAGCGGGGCTTGCTTGCTGCCACATGGTGACCCCAAATGACCGGATAGGGCAAAACTGAACTGCTTTCTAGGGTTTGGGGGCTTGTAAATATTTATGGAAGCCAACTGCCTCTTCTTCCTCCCGTGGAGTGGCTAGTGGGTTTGAATGACTGACCTTGCCTGCAGTCACTGGGCAACACTTCACCCACTTGGAAGCTGGGAAGGCCGTGCTTGGAGCCTGGCTTGGCCCCGGGGCAGCAGCTGAGGAGGCTGGTGAGGACATCCATCCAGGTTGAGGGTCAGTGAAGCCCTTGGACAGGCAGAGACCCCGCTCCTGACTGCAGAGCCTTCGCCTGCCGTCCTTTCTCTGGGATTTCCACTCAGTGATTCCGCAGACAGCTACATCTTCCTCCCCTAGAGACGCTGGTGGGTCTGAGCCGCTGCCCTCGTGGGCAGCCCGATGCCCATCCCACAGCATCGCCCGGGTGCCCGTGTTGCCGCCTGTTAAACATCTCCAGCTTCTCTGGGTCTGAGAGGCATTGGGGGTTCCAGAAGCAGATGGTGCGCAGGGCTGTGTGCGCTTGCCTGGCTATGGCTGACTGACCGGACAGACCAGTGTCCAGGCACCGCCGCGTGTCAGTGCAGAGCGTTGGTGCGGCTGCTGTGACCCTCCACCCCGACTGCTCCGCATCACTGCGAAGGAAGTGGGCATGCGTGCCCTCACCCATAGGGCAAGGTTACCTCCTTGTCCCCCTCGGCTCGCCTGCTGCCTCTGCAGCCTCCGGGCCCCTCCAGCTGGACGGGGTACTCCTTCAGTGGCCCCTTCAGCACCTGTTTTTGGCATTCCTACTCTAGAGTCAGGTCTCTTCTGCTCTTGCCTGACCATTGAAGGGCTTATTTATTTATTTTTGTGTGGCAGGGCTGTACGCGGAGTGAGGGTGCCCCCTGGGGCCTGTGGAAGACCACTGGGCTGACCTGGGGTGACCTTTCCGGGGCTCATGTCATCTTCCAGGCTTCCTTGCCTTTCTGTGAGAGCCATGCCTTTCTCTTGGTCAGAGGGGCCTCTTCTCAGGCCCTAAATTGCAATATGAAAACGGAGTTGCCACGAGTCCCACTAGCAGGGGACCCAGGCCTTGGCTACCTGCTCACTGGCAGGTGGAGGGGGCATCCCGGGGGACCTGGGCAAGCACTCCGACAGGGCAGGGCTGCCCCAGCTCTATGGCGGGACTTGTTCTCCGCTGAGCTATGACCACACCCCGAGTCTGCAAGGGCTTCAGCAGCCTCTCCTCCTCCTGCCCAGCCATGGCTGGGGACGGTCCAGGGACCCCCTCTGCCTCGAGGAGCCTTGGGGACAGCCTGGGCCGCCCAGAAGCAGACCTGAGAGGAGACTCAAAGGCAAGTCCCTTCTCTGGAAAGAGGGAAGACCAGTAGTGGGTGGGATGTGAGCCAGGGAAGGGAGAGCTACGGGCCCTGACCCTGCAGGGCCCTGCAGGGGTGAGGTGCTGGCCTGTGGCCGGGAGCTGCTCTGGGGCCAGTAGGGGAGGCCAGCGTCTCAGAGCCTGTCACTGGTCTGCATGGGACAGCCGAGAGTACATCAGCCCCGCCCTCTGATGGCAGAGCTTGTGGCCGATACAATCCGTGTGCGCGTGTCTAGCACAATTCCCAAGGAGCTGCAGGTCTCATGGTTCCCTGCTTCTACCTTCACTGTCATTTAAGACTGAGGAGTATGATCTGATGGCCAGAGGGGCACAATTGCCTCCCCACTCACCCCCACCCCCATCCCGCCCCACTGTTGGCTGGACCCTCACCCCCACCCTAGACTGGAACAAGCCAAGCCATGTGCTCGGTTTCACGTTAGTCTTTTATTATAATCATTTTCAAGGGATCATTTTGCCGAAAGGCTACACGGTTTCTTACATCATCTTGAGTTACAGCATGAAAAAAGACGATGGGGAGGGGGCTGAGGATCAGTGGCGCAGCTGGGACAGCAGACACGGAATCAAGCGAATCCCGCCACTGTGTGAGAACCACATGGCAACGTGGGCACCGAGTGGAACACGAACCCTATGGCGAACACTGTAGGCGCAGAACTGGGAACGGACACCGAGGGCGCCACGCGCGCAGACACGCGCCCGGATTTGGCCTGCGAGGCGGAAGCCCGGTGGCTGCCTGTCCCGCCCCCGGGAGCCCTCCTTGGCCTTCCAGGCTCGGGCTCTGCACCCACGGGGGCCAGGTGGACTGTGGGTGCCACAGGACAGCCAGGCCATAGGTGGAGACGTGGGCCGCCACGTGCTCTTGTTCTGCAATGACCTCTGGGGTCATTTCTTTAAAGATAAAAAAAAATAAAAACAACGAAATTTAAAAGGAACCATAAATTGAGGTCAGCGCTGGCAGGCTGTCCCTCAGGGAGGGCAGGGGAGCTCCGGTTCCTGCCGGGGCGCCCCAGGCGGCCTGTGCCCCGCAGCTCCCTGGGCGCAGCCTGGGGCAGGACACTGGGAGGCCGGCCCTGAGAGTCTTTTGTTCTTCGGGGCTTCAGTCGTTGGCCACGTTGCAGTGAGCACTGAACGTCCGGAGGTCATCTCAGGAGAGCTCCCGGTGGAGTTAGACCGTGGACGGGTTAAATGCGGATGGGTAAGGCAAAGTAGTTAGGGAGCGTCTTCCTCTAGCCTGAGACTCTCCTATGTAATGCACAGGGGCAAGTTTTAAGCTCCAATTTCCGTTTGATCAAAGAGGCATGCGTGAAACACATTGGGGCTGTGCTAAGGAGAAGCAGAAAATGGGAAATGGGAGAGTCATCTAAGCTGTGTGCGTATAAAATAACTTTAACTGAATTATCAAACCAAGGCAAGGTTTCTGCCGGTCACCACGTTGGCTCAAGGAAAACAAAAGAGTTTCATATATTCAGGTTTTTTTAAAAAAAATGTGCAAGTAAACCAAAGTAGTACCTGATAAAATAAAGATGAACACATTCTTTAATGGCACTGCGACTAATAAAAATGCCAATAATTCTAAAATATGAATAAAAATGATAATAAAGTCACTTGGGACAAGGCCTAGCACTATGAGCCCATGGGAGCTGGTGTCCCTGCCCTGGGTGTCTCTTCCAGAAGTGCACGAGGCCCGCGGGCACAGGGCAGGCACCAGAGGGGAGACCAGCAGCCAGCAGAGGGAACCAGCTCAGGTTCCCGGGGGTGGCGGGGCATCCAGAGGCCTCTTGTGTGGCCAGAGACACTCAGTTTGTGTGAGACTTGCTCTCAGGCAGAGGACAACGTAGGGGTGAGCAGGTGACGGTGGCCAAGCTGCTGGGGGACTGTCACCTCAGATGGGAAAACAGGGCCACCTTCCTTTGTGACAAAGTCACTGGTGGTGGCATCTGCACTGGGGGTGAGAGTGGCATCCCAGGGCACGGAGTCGGCCACCGCTGGAGGGCACAGCCACCAGGTTTCACCAGCACATGTGCCAAGCAACCGTGGAGGGCCAGCAACCCTACTCTGGGGGCCACGACAGCCAGTGGGGCACCCCTGCCTACCTGGAGCGGGTGTGTCACCTCCCGCTGCTGGAGGCCCAGCGCAAACCCTGGGGCTACTTCGGCGCCTCTCCGCATCAGCCGGCTTTCTTGGAGAGGGAGGTAGTGGTGTCACGAACTCATCTGTCCACGGGGGACTGTGCCCTTAGCAGCGGCAGGAATGTGCACACGGCGCCGGCTCCTTCCCACTGGTTCCCACTTGTTACCAGGAAGGTTTCCACCGCCCGGGGCCTCGCCAGCTTCTAAGGAGAGGCCTCAGGAGCCAACAACGCCCCCCGCCCCCCTATGCAGGGCTGGAACCTAGGGCCCAGTCTGACAGCATGGCCCCACCCCTCCCGTCAACTAAAGGCTGAGGCACTGGCAAGAAATGGCCCAGAGAGGCAATGCACCCATCTCGGCTTCCTAAGCTGCCAAGGGAGGGTGGGGAGGGCTTGGGCTCCCAGGCTGGCCCCTGCCCCGTCACTGTCCCAGCTGAGGCCTGCCCTGCAGCCCCAACACCGGTGAAAGGTACAGAAACCCTGGGTCCTCCCAGCACCAGAAATGTTCTCAGGAAAGCCTGCTCCTCAGAGATGGGGCTCCAGGCCTAACTCCCTGCTGCTGCCCAGGCATCTGAATCTGAACGAGTGGGCACCGGGTTTTCCCCTTCACCCCTCAGCTGACCGGTGCATACTGCTGAAGCTGGCAGGCTGGGCAGCATCCCGGCCGACCCGACAGGAAGGTGGGCGTCCCAGGATGTCAGACATTTTCCTGTTGCCGGAGCAGGGATATTCTAGCGGCTTCTGAAACCAGTGCGGCAAACATGGGCTACAGAGGGACCCTGTTTTCTGGCTATGAAAAATTCTAAAAGGTAAAACCCAACTGTTGAAGGAGGGACAGCAGTGGCCTGAGGTTTAGAAATGTATTCAACAACTAAAAAGAAAAAGGAAAAAAAAATCTAACATATTCTCATACCTAAATATGATTCTGAAGTTTAGATCCTGGAACTTTCCCGTGAGTCAGGAATGGGGTCTCCCCGCCCTGGGGCTGACTCGCTGTAGTCCCTGCTTGTGTGTTCGGCTCTGCTGTATGGCTTCCCGAGGCAGGGATGAGGGTGACTGATGGCGACGCGGGCCTCCCGGGGAGATGCTTTCTTGGCATCAACCACTGTTTCTATTCCTGATGCCCCGAGAGAGACTGGAGGAGTCACTCACTCCTCAGTCAGGCAGAGGGCAGGGCGAGTGGCTCTCCCCGTGGCCTGGCTTTGCCAACAGCGGGTGTCTGACCCCCTGCTGGGGTGGCCTGGAGTGGTGCGGGTGGGTTGGGGGTCGAGGCCCAGAAAGGCTGCCAGGATTCTGGTGAGCAAGGCTGGGTGTTGTGGCCACATGGGCTTCATTTGGATTTCTCTAAGCATTCCAGTGGGCAGCACCAATGCCAATTGCATGCTGGGAAAGAAGTGTTGGCTTTAGAGGGCTCTCCGGCCTCTGGACTTGGGGGGGGGGGCAGGGTGTGTGTGCTCTGAGCTGTGGGGGTGAGGCAGGGCCAGTCTGGCCCGGCTGGGTCAGAAGTCCTGGGGGCTCACGATGGTGAAGCCCGAGTCCTTGCTGTGGATGCTGCTGTCGTCGTCCGGGCTGGAGCTGGGGTTGCTGGAGGAGGCCGAGGCCGGGCCCATCAGGGGGTCAGAGAACACGAGTGGGGAGCGGGCCAAGGCCTCGCCTTTCCTGGACGTGCTTCTGAGGGTGCGGAGGGGCTGGAGCTGGCCTGAGGTGGGCCCCCGAGGGCCGCCGCCTTCGTCTTTGGACACCAGGATGAAGTCATCTGAGCTCGCGCCATCTGTGTGCCCAGAGGCTTCCGAGGAGCCCTGTGGAAAATGGACAGGCGGACAGGTGGGTGACAGAGGGCACTGGCTGAGCCCGAGAGGGCGGCCTAAAAGCCAGATGCCCCAGGGCCAGGAGGAGTCCAGGCAAGAGCTGTGGTGCAGGGCAGAGCTGTGCTCAGCGGGGATCCCTCCCAGCCTCCCCTCCGGGACCCAGGCAGGCAAGTGGCCTGTTCTCATTCAGTCTCATCTACAAACTGGGGGGGACAGCAGTGACCCCTCTGGGGGTGGGCCTGGCATGACGTGTGCGTGTGAATCCCCAGTGGGAGCGGCCAGAGCCAGAGGGCGCTCACCCCCTGCTCATGGGAGAGCTTTCAGGGGGCTCCGGGCCGGATGGCTGCCTGTGAGAGCTGTCCGAGCTTGGAGACCACCGAGCCTGGAGCCTGAAGAGCAGATTCCATGTAAAGAGTGGGGTCTAATAGGGCCCCCAGGCCACCCTATACTCCAGTGGCTCACAGCCAGGACATGAGCAAGTTCCTGATGGGGAAGGGCACCATCGTGAGCCGTGGACCCTTCTGCCCTCAGCGGTGAGCCAGGCCCTTCTGCGCCATCCCCGGGGAGGGGGTGCGGGTCGAGATTAAGCAAGAAAGCGAAGAGGGTGATCCACTCCCGAGGTCAGAACAAGCTGTGGCACAAACAGGTCCTAGGCAGACCCAGTGCTGGGGATTCCTCTCCAGACAAGGCCACGAAAGCCGGCCTCCTGCCACCCTGTTACAGGAGCGGGCAGTCGGGCAGTGGCAGGGGGTACGCCCCTCAACCCAGGACACCCTCTTCGCCTGGCACAGCAGAACCTCAAATCCGTCTGTGAAAAGTGCCTTCAAACTCTCACGCTGCACTCTTGGGATGCACATCGTTCCTGGCTCTAGCCGCACCCCCCCCTGCCCCCCAGTAAAGCACCTCCCTCCCGCCTTAAGGGCAGTGTGACGGAAATCGCTGCCAGCCTCCAAACCCTCGTGGCCTCTCCGATGCTGGGGACACAAGTCCCGTCAGGAAGGAGGCAGTCGAGGCTTCCTGTCTGGGGGACCCCTGGCCCCTTATCAGCCTTGTCCAGATCGCTGGCCTGGACAGCGGAAGCCCTCAGATACTTGGCTTGTCCGTGTGCCTGGCTGGCGTGTATCCGGGATTGCTCTCGCCTTTCCTCCCCGGAGCACCGCCTGCCCGCTTCCCCCTTCCGCAGACAAAACCGGCTTCCTCAGGCGTTTTCCTGCGTTGAAACGGCTAACAACCATGGGGAAGGGGCCAGGGCAGGGAATGGGTAGTGACACACGTCCTTCTGTGTTCTCGTTCTCCCTGCACGAGGCATGGAGGGGGCAGCGGAGCAGGCCCGGGAAGCTCTCCCTGCGTCCCCGGGCCGCGGTGGATCCACAGAGACGGAAGTCCGGAAGGGCGACTGAAAGCATAATCACGAGCTTTGGGGACAGTTTTTCTTGTTTCTGTCGTGTTTTTCGTACATTCCCCTAAAACCATAATAACGGCTTCAATAAAAATTGCCCATTCAAATGTGCAGCTGCTAGGTGCTGGCTAGGCCATGCGCAACACTGTTTGAACAGATGGTGGTTGGGGGAAAGGCCACATCTGGGACGGCACTTGCAATGCCAGCTTGCCTTCACCCGGCAAGAAAGGCCAACGCAAAGCGTCTCGGGAAAGGGCCTTCCGGAGCGGAGGGAAGGGAACCCGCGTGCGTCGTCTTCTCCTCTTCTCGAAGCGTCTTTGAAATGGGAAAGGAGCCACAAGACCCACACAGCCGCCCTATCCGAAGCAGCCGCGTTGTGGTCTTTGAGTCACACGCAAATAACTTCCCAACATCTGAGAGCTAGTCTTTGGGAAAATAAACGGCTTGGGTGGGAGTTTTGGCTAAGGTTCATTTTCCAAGATGAGTACGTAGTGAGGCGTTGCTTTCAGTATTATTACGAACCACGCGGAAACCACCTTTCACTCTTGTCAGCTAGACACGGGCAGCGTGGAAGACCTGGGTGTTTCTCACTGGACTGTGGGCAGTGGGGTGCCAGCTTACTCACCCGCCCTACCTTAGGCTTGGCCAGCTGGGCGCCCTCTGCAGGCAAGCCCATGCAGCTCCGGGGCCATGGCTTATCACCAGGGGGTAAGTTAAGCAGACAGTTGTATCTGACCCTGGGGTTTGGAGATGCTTTTTCTTAAAACATTGTGATCAAGACAGACAGATGTGTGACAGAGAACTCTATGTGGCCTGCCTAATGGAAACAGTTACTGCCTGGCCTTGCCGACCCAAATGTTTGCCGACCTTGGTCTTAAAGGATGGACACGGATGAGAAGTCTCCCCTCAGGGATCTTTCGGTTAAAAAAAAAAAGGTCGAGCCAGTGAAATATGATGGTGCGTTAAAAAGTACGGCTGCAAAGTCACAGAAACCTATAGGAAACCAGAAGACGGAGATGGGAAGCGGTTTTGTTTGTTTTTCCCCTTGACATGCCCTCCGTCTGGGTCTGTACCCCTCTGAGGGCAGTGTGTCCGTCACGCTAGCGGCTAGTCTAGCCCTGTCCTTAAAACGACTGTGCTCTTCCACACGGTTTTGGCATCCTCTGCGGACCCAAAATTGTGTTCTTTCCAAATGATCTCTGGCTTCTGAGAATGCAAATCAGGCTGCGGGGAACAAAGATCAGGGCTGTGGAGGGAATGGGATCAGGTTTCCCAATGAAATTCCCAGCCAAATCTGAGGACAGCCCCTCCTTCCCCTGAAGAATGGGCAAGTCTGTTGCCAGGATGCAAAAAAAAGCACTCATGGATGTAACTCTCCAGGCCTTTTCCTCACCAACACAGTCGGAATTCTCTAACACTTCCTCATAATAATTGCCCCTGGCCATCCTGGGTCTTCCTAGAAAATCCATCAGGATGATCCCTTTGTAATTGTAAAAAAAAAAAAAAAGAAATTACCATAACGGTGGGGCTGCCCTCACTGCCTTGAATGGTGTACCAGGTCCTCGGGAAAGTGCTGTTTTGAGAATCAGCCTAAGAACAAGCGCATTCCTGAGAGAACGTGTCTGCGGCCACCCACAGACCCCAGAGGGCCGTTTTAACAGGTTCCGTTTGGAATCAACCTGCGCATATGTGAACCGGAACCCTAGCACCAAGAGTTCTGGAAGTCGCAGCATACACGTGGTCAAAGGTCATGGAGGGTGGAGTGGAGGGTAGTCACTATGGCCTGCTGAGGCTTGGCTTTCCAACTACAGAATGGGCGTGGCTGCCTGGAGGCTTGGGACAAAGTTGCTGCTTGTAGACATGTAGTTGCGCACAGGGCAGTTCTGAGAGAGACCAGTCTCCTCATTGTCACCCTTATGGATGGCGCCCCGCCACCCCCCACCCCCCAGCACTGGGCTGACTGCACCTGCACAGTTGTACAGAACAGCCCGCTTAGGCCCTTTGTGATATTTTACAGCTGAACTTCACCTAAGCCCGAAAAACCCAAACCCACTGTCTTCAAGTTGATTCTAACCCATAGCAGCCTGACCTAGGGTAACCGGGGCTGGTCAATGTGTATAGGCGCAGGCCCGGGAGCAGTTGGTGGACGTGAGCCAATGCCTGTGTAGCTGGCAGCTCACTGTTTAACCCAGCAAGGCTTACTGACATGAATGTCACGCTTGGCACCCTGAAAAGGCTTTTGGCATTGCTAACTCTGAAGGATTTATGTGAACATGCCTCCATGCCAACTGAGTTCATGGGACACTGCCCATCAGAGCTCATGTACCTGCTTGGTGGCCGCAGGCATCTGGTCGCCCTGGCTCTGGCCCTGACCACTGGAGCAGTAATGGTCGTCGGAGATAGTGATCTGTTCATTCTCCTCGGCCTCCAGCTGGCTCTGGTTGAAACGCAGGGAACCTTTTAGAATGTCTTTGATCTGTTTTCAAAGAGGAAGAACAAAAATGAAAACAATGATTGCATGCATTTTTCAATGATAGTTAAATTCTTTAATACACTGACACTAGGGTTGTCACAGACTTTTTTTTTCAAAAGTGTAGACATTACCATAAAAAAAAAAAGAAATCCAACTTCATCAAAGCCATCGTCTTATCAGTGACCAAGGACAACTTCAACAGACTATTAATGGCCAGGTCCTCCCAGGGTGAGGCATGAGTGCCCATCCTTGGCAGCGATCATGGGGCAGGAGGCACCATTTGCCTGCACACCCAGCTGGAGCTCTGATGAACACAGGCAGGCATTTGGGCCCAGCATACTATTTTTCGTGGACAATTACGTATGTCCTGTTTAGTTCTGCAGGAGGTAGGCATGGGGTGCTTTGAAGGCCTGCTGTCGGTGGTGCTATAATGCCTGCCTTGGGACATGCCTGCATTTACGAATGCAATGGCAGAATGGGGGGCTGGGCCTGCCGTAGCAGCGGTGGGCAAGGAGCACACATGATGGGGTTGGGGGGACCAGTCCTGGCTGCAAGCTACTCAGACACAGCTGCTAGAAGGCGCAGAGGGTGGGACTCTGCTGGGAGGGAATGAGGGGCGGCTGATGGCTCAGTACCAGGTTACCTCATACCCTGGAGGGCCCTTACACAGTAGGCACCAAGGGACTGTCCTGTGGGACAGGAAGAAAGAGTCCTGTCAATGCACATACCTGTTTTAATCCTGCGAGCGAAACCAGAATTTGATCCTCTTTTTCCAAATTTTCTTGTAGTATCACATCTTGGATGTTTACTGAAAACAGAAGAGAGATACTCTATAACCCATGTTCTGGGTATAACTGCCCCGGCAGCCACACCAAAAGCCCACACAGTGGCACTCTGCCAACGTGCAGCCAGGGGAATGGCCGGACTGCTCAGAGAGGGCAGCACCAGCCTGGCCAGCACAGCGCTCCCTCCAGCAAGACAGCGCGCTCTCTTCCTGCCAGGTCGCTCCCTCCATGGCATGTGATGCGGTCAATAGACTAGACCGCCTCCCCAACCTCTGGGGGGAGCTTCCTCCGCCTGAGCGCCCTACATGGCCTCTGAGTCCAGGGGCGCCAGCTCACGCTTCTCTCTAGAGGACAAACACTGTGCCCGGCTGATCGGAGTTCATCCGGAAGCCGCCTTCAAGGAGCTGTGACAGTAAAGTACGTGGGCATTTCAACATACGGGTGGAAATAAAAGGCTAACTAACCCTTGTGGCACAACACCTTGACCTTCCCTTACGATGTCCACGATGCCCACTAATGGGGCGTCTCCACCGGCGAAGTCCTTCCTTCAGCCTGGCGCTGAGGGGTCCACCGCATCAGCTGCCGACCACCAGGTTTGGTGTCAGGCCGAGTGGCTCACGGGTGTGCCACACTTGCAGTGGCCTGTGCCTTCTCCTCCTTTACAGCAAAACTCAAAATTATGCCTGAGTCACCATCAGGTCTGGAGGTAACTGACCCCCAGGGGTCGGTGAGGACCCCCACAGAAGCTCTGCTCTTTGGAGGAGAACAACAACCAGGTGACCCAGCAGGGAAGGGAACCAGGGGGCCACGCCCCATCCTTCTCCCCTCCAAGCCAGGCTTCCCGCTCAGGAATCCTGTGGGAGCTGGGGAAGTCGGGGAGCAGGGAGCTCCTGAAAGGCCACTGCCCCCATGCTTCCCCAACAAGTAGGGAGCAGCAGAGGAGGAGACTGGGTCTGGAGGGGCAGGCGGGAGGTTTCAAGCACAGGGGGTGCCCCAAGATCCAGGGCAGGGACAGTCTGAGCAGAGAAGGCCTCTGTGAGTGACTTCCCCCTGGGCCACTGTGGGGAGAAGCTAGCCCTGTGCAGCTGTGTGAAAGGCAAGAGAAGACCTGAAGGCCAGTACTGGATCCCGCAGGGAGCTGGGCCTCCACTACACTCAACACTGGAGGACCAGCCACGATCGCTCACACACTAGACGCCGGAGATCAGGTACGCTCACCACTTCCCTCCTGCGTTCTCACCCACCTCTTAGGGCTGTCTGAGAAACTGTGCTCCCAGTCTTGCCCTCCCCACCCATATCTAATTCATCAGAATGCCAGCAGCTCTACCAACAGCGCATGCTTAGAGCCCACGGATTTCTTATCACCTCCGCTGCTGTCACCCTCATCGTGGACACTGTCCTCTCTCCCTTAAGGTGCCCCAGTCTCTACTTGGGATGCACACATTCCCTGTATGGCTGCCCATAGCTGCCAGAGCTCAGAGGACCCTCCCTCCTGGCTTGCTCGACACCCCAGGGGTAGTGCCAGTACCCTTGGTGTTCCCTGGCCTGTGAGACAGGAGCCTCTTCTGTCTCCATATCTATGTGCACCTGGCTCCTCATTGTTGGACCTCCTGCTCTGTGGTGGTTACACAATCTCATGTCAACTTGAGGATAATCATAGGGACGGGTGGAGTCTAGCCTGTCAGTCGGGTCTGATGATGTCTCCCTGTGGGCGTGGCCCTCTCATGAGGATTCTGGGAACTTAAGTCTCTCTTGATTCTGCCATCATCAGAGGAGGGCCACTCTCTCTGCTTCAAAGTCCTGTGGACAAGCCACATGGAGCCATGCCGATGGCAGCCAGAGCCCTGGAGATGCTCCCACCACCACTGGATCCACAAGACTTTCCACCCAACAGCCTGTGATCTCCCTGCATCACATCACACTGCATTCGGCATCATTGCATGTGTTGCCTGAGTCCTAAGAGTACTTTATAGACCAGTATCGGACACAGGGGCTAATCACGGACTTATGGACTTGATCTGGACTGGGCTGTTTTCTTAACATGCAATTACTCTTTGATATAAAGCTCTCTTTTACACACATATGAGTGTCTCTGGATATCTTTCTCTCGCCAACCCAGACTAACACATGCTCCGATGTCACGTCGTCAGAGCAACCTTCCTGCCCGCCTCCACTGCTCACTGCCATCAGTCGATTCCGACTCACAGCGATCCTAGGACAGGGTAGATCTGCCCCTGTGGGCTTCAGAGATTGTCACTCTTCACAGGAGTGGAAAGCCACGTCTTTCTCTCACGGAGTAGCTGGTGGTTTAGAACTGCTGAGCACCACGCCACCATAGCCCAGTCCCTCGTTAGTCTCTGTTCTACCACGTTTGTTCAGGAGGAGGCGCTCCTGCCACTGTCTGACATCAGCTTATCCATGTGCCCCTTGTTCAGCACCATCCTCCTGGCCCGCAGAACAAAGCCCATCCCAATGAGGTATACAATAAGTACTGTCTGACTCAAGAAGGAATGAGCAAACACAGAAAAGTTTCAAAGCACTGTAGAAAAAGAGAAGGCAAAGACTGATGGCTTCAACAGACTGCCAGCCTGACAACCGATTAGAATCGTAAAAATGAATCCACAGACCACATGGACAAGTTCTCTTACACACACTGTGGCCTTTGTTGAATCAGAAAACTCAGCTGTAGCTTTTGGCTCATAGGAAGGCCCGCCCCACAACAGGAAAGCCGTGGACCTGGGATCAGAGCGATACAAGAGACAATTACAGAGGGATGCTTCTGGTTTCCCTAAGAGCCTGTAACAATTTGTTTCAATGAGACAAACAAACAAAACAGTAACATACAATCCACTCAACAAGACAGTAACAGCATCCAAGAGCACAATACTGAAAACCCTTTCTGAAGGTTTCGTAGAGCATGAAAAAAGGTGGGGTTTGTTTTCACAACTGCCATGGTTTTCCAGGAGGAGCACACGAAGGCCTGAGGCGGGGCAGCGGGGCACCTGGCAGTGTCCAGAGAGCGGAGTGGCCTTGTAGGGTGGCAAGTTCTTCTGGCTGTCCTGCGGGGTGTGTGTGTTGGGGGGCGTCCCCAGTTCCTGGCCAGGCAGGGGCTGTAGGGGACAACTCCCAGGTTCCAAGAGGATGCTCAGCCCATAGAGGCAGGAGTACAAGACATCTGTAGGAAGGGGGGGATTCTGAGGACCCAGGAACTCTGGTGGGCTGGGGGCAGTTCTCTGGAAGCCACACCTAGCAAAGGGGAAAGTCTGCAGGCACAAACTGTGATGCATCTGCCGCGCCGAGGACAGCTTTTGTCTTTGTCTCCCGTCTGACTCTTTGACTGTCTCTGGCTAGGGCACATGTCCTCAAGCATGAGGGTCTGGCCGAAGTACCTGCTCCTGCCCCCCAACGTGAGAGTGACATTCATGATCAGCAGCAAGAGCGGCCAAAGACCTTGAGGATCAGAGGCCACAGACATGGATCAGGGCAGGTATTCGCTCCAATGTGGACAGAGCGCTCCTTGGAGCCCCACAAGGCAGGAAGGCACTCAGACTTCCCCAAACACCAACGTGACAATGGGAGCCCCCCGAGAATGCTCCGTCTTGGCAGGTAGAAGACGGTGAACTCTTTGTTGAATCTCCACTTCACTGAGCATGCGTAAGAGGTGACTGAAGGCGTCATGCTCAGGTCAGGCGCCCCCTGAGTCACCCAAGTGCCTTCCTGGGTGTCCAGCAAATGCTCACCGAGAGCGGTGGTGGTGATGCTTGTGGGGAGGTTGAGAAGGCGGGTGGTGACGAAGGGTGTGTTAGCAAGATGGAACAGAAAGCTCTTCTCTGATCGAGATGATAGGCCAAGATGGGAATCATGCGGCCACTTTGCCTCGGGGCTCGCTTTTACTGTGAGCAAGCCTGCAGCCTACTCGCTTGCTCTCTTGGGTCCAAAGTTCTAGTGGGTCACCTGGGATCCATCTACAGGGCACAGCTGACCCCGGTCACCGCACTGCTCTGGCCAGTCAGGTACACGAGAGGCCCTGGGTGGAGCTTCTGGAAAAGCCCGCAGTGGACTGGCTCAGAGTGCTGGGTGGACCTTGGTGCTTCCCTTTTTCCTACTGAAAAGCTGGCTGGGGTTCTGTGCTCCCTGCTGTGGGCACGTGGACGATGGGTGCCAGCCTGGGGATTGTGGGCAGAAGCCAGGAAGAGCTTGGGGCACTGAGCACAATGTGGAGCTGCTGTACTGGAGGGAGAAGAACAATCATCCCTGGCTTGTTTACTCCTCTGTCTGCTAGGCTTATGTGATTAGCAGCCAAATTCCCTGTTACACACAGTGAAAACTATCCCGATTCTTCCACTGAAAGAAGACCAAAGCGGCCCTGGCAGGCTTCTCCGGCCTGCAAGTTCCAGGCGAGGTGTCCAGGGAGGAGAGGGAGTGGGTGGCCTGGCAGGGCCAGAGCCAGAGCCTGGGGCCCAGCAGCAGCACACCCTCATCCTCAGCCCGTCTTGAGAGCGGGTCAGCTGAGAAGCGCTGCCCATGCACATCCCTTTCCTAACCAGTTCCATGCTGCAAACATTCAAGGGGGCATCTGGGGTGTCCTAGGAACAGGTAACTGTTTAGCTGTCCTTGAAAACGCCATCCCCCTTCCAAAAGGTCCTCTGTGCAAGATCACGTCTCTTCCTTACTTCAGAGGTCACTGTGCCCAAGCATTACGTTCAAGTTCAAGTCGTCAGGCCTCCTCATGCTGCATCTCTTACTCTGGAAACCTCATTCACAGATCCGGCTCAGAGACCAAGTTCAGGGGCGAATGTCCTGTGCGGCACACTGTCGCCTCCCAGCACGCTCGTGCACGCCTTCCCAGTGCCTCTGAGGCCTTGGTCCACCGGGGAGGCTGTGTCATTTCTGATGAGGTATCTTCATTTTCTCTCTCCGCCTCTGACGTCGTACTCGCCTCTTCCCTGGATTTTAGATTACCCTCTCCCCACCTCACCCCATCTCAAGCTGCTTCTCTCAGAACCCATTTTTTTATGTCAGA